CGAAAGAAAGGAATTCCAGAGCTTCCCTTTTTTTCAAGTTGGGACTCCTACTCCCTATTCTCTTCCTCGAGACCCATCAAGATTTCGGGGTCACATGCAAAAATGTTTGGGAAATGCTGTTGAACTCTCTGACGCTGTCTTGGCAATATCTTGGATTGTTGTCGTGTCCTCTTGGCTGCCCCTGAAACCATTGTAGAAATCGAGATCCCATGATCCCATGAGTTGAAGCAGTGGAATGTTAGAATTCCTTGTTTTCTAACTCACCCCCTGTTTATTTTTGCACGAACACCCCGAGAGGCATCCCAACAGACCGTGGCCTGCATGCAGAAAACTTCTCACCCACAACCCAGGCACTACAACTTGAGAAAAAGGAAATCCCACCATTCCGTTTTCCCCAAGTTCGCCACCTGTCTACTCTTGCACAACAGACCACAATTCAGGCCCTAGAAAAGAACCCAGGAAGCCTTCGAGGGCCCCAAGTCGTTGAATACCTAACGGCAATTAATGATTTGTGCGTTTCCGCAGTCCCTCTTCGATGCGATTCCGAGGCTTGCGCAGGGCCTGCAGGAGTGTCCCTGGATGCAAGAAACGACACGGATGATATTCCATGCGTTCGCCCATCAAGCCTAGCTAGAACTTGAGCGCGCCCGATGGTTCTAGTATATACATGTATATATGCACACATTCCCATATAAACAAACATACGTACGTACGTACATTCATGTGTGCCCATGCGCTTACATAAATAAATCCGCCGGCCCCCTTGCGGGGCCATCAGGCTGCCAGGCTTAAGGTTGCTGCTCCATGTGCCAGTTCCAGTCTCCAGTTTCCATTGTTACAGTACTGCTTTCTGCTTCCTACTGTAATGTGTTACTGTCCGCGCGAGGGGGGGAGCCGAAAAGGACCCTGGTTAGCACCCCCTGGGAAGATTCTCAGAATTTCAGGGGGGGCGTGGGACACGTAAAAATACGGGAGCTTCGTATCCACGAAGCCAGAATCCATCGCAAATTACTTTGTATTCGCGCCCCCGAGGCCACGATCCTTTACAAATGACGCTACATTCGCATCTCCAAAGCCACGATCCCTCGTAATTTACACCACATTTGCGTCTCCGAGGCCACGATCCCCTGCAAATTACTCCACATTCGCGCCCTCGAGGCCACGATCCTTTGTAATTTACACCAAATTCGCGCCCCCGAAGCCACAATCCCATGTAATTTACATCATTTCCCCCGAAGCCACGATCCCTTCTAAATCACTACAGATTCGCGCCCCTGACGCCACGATCCCTTGTAAATTACGCAGCGGGCGAGCCCCCGAGGCCACGAATCCGTTGTGCGGAGGCTCCCGAAAAGACGCTCCCCCCCTCTCCAAAGCAGAAAAACGGCAAATTTCTGTATTGGGATACGTGTTCCGCTGGTATTCGTTTGCCCCCCCCCCCGTTTCTAGAAAATTCGGCGGTGGGTTCCACATTCACCCCCCCCAGGCCACGATCCCTCGCAAGTTACGCCACATGTGCGCCCCCGAGGCCACGATCCCGCGCGAATTACGCCACATTCTCGCCACCGAGGCAACGATCCCTCGTAAATTACGCCGCTGTCGCGCCCCCCAGGCCACGATCCCTCGTAAATTACGCCGCATTCGCGTCCCCGAAGCCACGATCCCTAGCAAATTACACCAAATTCGCGCGCGCCCCCCCCACGCTACGAATCCACCTCGCGGAAGCTGCCCAAAGGCGCCACTCCTTCTCCAGAGCAGAAAAAAAAACCTTCCCAGAGATTGCCTGAAGTAATCCCCAGCCGTTCCCAGAGCGCTTCCAGTGAACAACTGGAGGAAAATGTCAAGAAGGCAACAAAGCAATCAACAACAACTTCAACATCGCAATCTGCTTTGCTCATCGCCAGCCGCCCCAGCATGACGCTCCCGAATGTCATCAAGACGGCGCCCGAACATCCCAATATAGCTCTGATGTATCCCATTATGATAGAGAGGGGGCCGGCGGCAGCGGGGGGGGCCCTTACGGATTATCCGGATTATGCAATTTTGCACTTCGGGGTTCCTAGTTGTGCCGCTGAGCAATTGGATGGGTTTGGTAGGTTACTTCCAAGTTGCCACCCGTGGCCGCCTCGTGCGCTGGGTAGGTATGGCGCCGCCCATGGCCACTTCGTGGCCGCCCGGCGCGCTGAGTGAACCCAACGAAGTTTCGGAACGTTGCTGTCGATGGCTGCCTCGTGCCCGCTTCGTGCGCTGAGTGGGCCCAGCGAGGTTTCACCACGTTGCTGCCCGTGGTCGCCCGGCGGCCGCCTCGCAAGCGAGGTTTCATCACGTTGCTGCCCGTGGCCGTCTCGTGGTCGCTTCGTGCGCTAGATCACTGTGGCAAAGTTTCGCCATGTTGCCGCCCGTTGCCACTGGGTTTGCCGTTCTGCACCACATACATTGCGTTGTACAGCCTGCACCACACAACTCACACCGCACAGCTAATCCCTTCAAAGGAACAAACACACTCTACCACCGTGTCCCCCCAACTTGGCACCCCCTGGGACACGGGAGTACTGCATATGGTTTTGCCGCGCTGCAAACTTGACATATGATCTCGTACATCCCAACCCAACCGGCATCGCCCCCCATCCTCGGCCAATAACAAGATGCGAGGCGCAGTCCTTGGTCGCAACAGATCACGTTTAGTAACCCATTGGAAAAATGTGCGCCATGCCCCCACACGCGCGCACACGTCGAAATCATACCGCACGCACAATTTGTGTATTGACTTCATTGTAAAGCATTCGAAACTGTTGGGCGCGTTTAGGTGCAATGTTGGCAGATTCTCTGCCCGCGCGAGTTGCAAACAATACTTGGGAAGTCGGTGAATTGTTCTTAATGTTATGGCACCACGCGGTGCACCCACGTTAATCCAGCGTGAGACCGGTGCACAAGTCCGTATCACAAAAAACATTCGGGCAAAACGCGCACGCCGCCACGTGCGCTATGCCATATTTCCACAACCTTTGGATCTCGAAGCATTCCAGGGTAGAGTGCTGCAGAACAGTTCAGACAATGCATTGCAACGGAAAGACGGCCAAATGCTCTGAACTTCCGTGCGTTCCCATTACTTCACCATGAGCCCCGTCACTGCCGCCGCATAACGTCATCGTCATAGACCATTGCAAACATGGACGTCAAACAGAGCGCATTTCACGGCCGCTTGCCTTCGGAACATTCGGCGGCGCGTGTCAAACCGGGGCGTGGGCCCCCCCAACCAACCTTCGGCGCCGTCGATCAGAACCACGGGGACCCCCTTCCACCCCCAATTCCCCCCCCTCCCGAACCCCCTCCTCCCTCCCCAAGGAAGGGGGGGGCCCAGGTTCAAACCACCCCCCCTCCGGCGCCGGCGCCGGCGCCCGCGCAGGCGCCCGCCAGCAGCGCCGACGGCGGGGACGCAGCGACGATGACCAGAGGCAGACCAAATGGGGGGGGGGGGGGGGGGCGAAATCCCCCCCCCCGCCAGCCAGCGCCGGCGCCGGCGCTGGCGGCGGCCAGCAGCGCCCGCGCCGGCGCCAGCGACGGCGGGGACGCAGCGACGATTACCACCACTACCACCACCACCACTACCACCACCACCACCATCTCAACCCGCCACCACCACAACCAACCCACCACACAACCACCACCACCATCACCACAGCCACCACCACCACAACCACCACCACCACAACAACTCACTCACCACCACCACCACCACCACCACCACAAAAACACACCAACACTACCACCACCACGACAATCTACCACACCGCCACCACCACCGCCGCAACCACCACCACTAGAAGCAACACAAACCACCACCACTACCACCACCTTCACCACCACAAACCACCACACAACCACCACACAACCACCAGCACCTTCGCCACCACCACCACCAGCACCACCTCCACAAACCACCGCCACCACCACAACCCACTACCACAACCACCACAAACCACCACCACACCACCACCAAACCACCACCACCACCACCACCACCACAACCCACCACCACCACAAACCACCACCACAGCATCACCAAACCACCACCACCACAACCACCACTCACCACCACAACCACCACCACCACAACAACAAACCACCACACCACCACCACCACCACCACCACAACCAACACCACCGCCACCACCACCACCACAACCCACCATCACCACCACGACCGTCGTCCTCGTCGACGCTCCCCACAGTTGCAGCCCGCCACCGCAGGTGCCGGCGCCGGCCCAGAAATTGAAGTCGTCGGCCCGGCCGCCGCCGCCAGCCGCCGCCGACGCAGGCGTCGGCGCGAGGAGAGGGAGAGAGGAGAAGTAGGGGAGGAGGGGGGCGGGGTCGAACCCCCCCCTCCTCCATCCAAGGGAGAAGGGGGTCCGGTTCCAACCCCCCCCCTCCAAGCGACCACAGAACGCGCTCTTTCCGACGTCGTGATGACACCGCGCCCGCCCCAGTCATCGACCCGCATTGAAGTGCCCGCGCGCCAGCGCGGCCTTTGCGACACGCGGGAGCTGCCATCGGCGGGCGCCATCGCGGCCGCATCGGCTGTGTCAATCCAGCTGACCGCTCTGCGCGCGAGCTTGTGCGCGCTAGCGCTGCCGCAGAGATGCGCAGCCAGCGCCAAGGATTCGCCGCCATCACAGCTGCATGGGTTGTGCAAAACAGGTTGCGGGTGGGACGGTGGGATTATTTGACGAGCAATGGAGTTGACAACTCGCTACTCTACATGGATTGAGCACACCTCATAGATCACACTTCATAGGTTACACATTCAGCGCAATAACTTACAGCGCGGGGGGGGGGGGCCTCCCTCCTCCCCGCTCTAACCCTCCTCCTGCTCCTCCTGCTGCGCGGAGTATTTCGCCTCCGCCCTTTCGAGGAGGCCGACTGCCTCCCCAGGATACCACCCTTCCCATCCGCCCTCCCCCACCAAAATCGCTGGCCGGAGCGCGGCCGAGCACAGCCACCGCTGCTCTGTGATCGAGACCTCGCACCGAGGGTAAAGGGGAAGGAGGAATAGGAGAAAGGCAGAGGGATAAGGAGGAAGAGGGAGGACAAACAAGGGTGAGGGAAGGAGGAGATGAGCGCGTCTCCATTTGACGTACAATGAAGTATCCTCCGAAGCATTGCCTCATTGGCGGAGCAGCAGGGTACGAAAGGTGTTTTGTGCGCTGTGATGAATGACGGATGGGCGGCTGTTTGTAGAGGCTGGCATGCTGTCTGACCACTGGCGTCGCCTCTGTGCGCCCTGGATGCGTCCATTCGCCTTCCCCGAAGCTAACGCGCAGGAGATGGAGGAGAAGGAAAAGGGAGCAGGGAGGGAAGAAGAGGAGGATTGCCAGGAATGCCGCTTCAAGTCGCTAGCTGGAACCAGCATCTGCTGCCAATTCGATGGGCAACCTGCCTGGAACGCCGCCGCTCTGCCTGCTTCTGGGCACTAAACGCTAGTTCGACACGAACTCCCCGCTCGCGGTTAACGCCCTGGCATCACCCGCCATCGTGCTAGCGGCACGCTGGGGTGTGCCAGGAAGCTCCTCCGCTGTCTGGGAGTGCTTCCAGGCAGCGATGGGCCGTGTTTCTGAGGCCGCCCCCACCTCCCTGGCAGCGCGTGGAGTCAGGACATCTACATCCCTGTGTTTGCTTGTCGGAACTACTTTCGGCCTCAATCAAGCTACACGACAGCTCAAAATACGTCAAAACGCCTGCAAGAAGCCCCAAAACCATCCCAAGACGGCCCACATAGCTAACAAAGGCAAGACGTCCCCAAGACGTCAAATTAGCCTTAAGGAGACTCTCAGAAGGGCCTTCAGCGAGGCCCGAAGAGGCGAAAACCATTGTAAACCTGTTGTGGACCAATGTGATGCACTCCCGAGAAAGTTCGGCTTCAGATCGCTTCAAAGAGCCCCGAGGAGCCCCCAAGACAGCCAAACACTGTCCCAACGGAGTACCCAGATGGCCTCAAGACTGTCCAAGAACCCTCCAAGACGGCCCAAGGGGGCTCCAAGACCAAGTGAACGAGGACGGGTTTGAAACCCACGCGAGTTCAGACCGCGCGCTAAGTTGTCGCGAGTTGCCTAAAACCGTCCGAAGACGGCCCAAAGAGCCACCACTCACGTCTACCAGATCTCCCCCATTTGCCCCAAGAGGCCCCTAAGAAGCCTCAAAGAGACGCTCCAAGAGACCTCCAGCGAGCCCCAAAGAGCCCCCAAGACGGCCCACGGCCCCAAGACTTCGGGAAACAAGTCGAGTTTAAGATCCATCCGAGTTCAGCCCGCGCGCTGAACTGGCGTGGCTCATAAAATCTCAACATTATTGACTCTGCGCTGCTGCGCTGGTGCGAAGGCGGGGTTTGCCGCCGACAGATGGATATTACACCGCTAGATCCATTCACACATGCGCACGCACATGGACACTGTAAAGCTAGACATGAGCGTTTGACAAAGGTGCAGATGTCTACGTAGAAGCGTGCCCACAGTCTGCAATACGCAACCGTGCGCCAACAACAAATGCACCCATGTATCACAATGTCTGACTAGCCACGCTTCCACGCACCGTCCGGGTTCTGAGTTTTTGTTGTGGAGCGGTCACGAACATGCCTTCATACGGGTTGTAGACCAATCAACAGGCGTGCGCGCGCGTGTGTGGAACATGAGGTGCGCAAAACAGCACGTAGCACCCCACAAATCCAGGTCAGAAAAAGGGGTGTGTCGCGGGGTGTGTCGCGGGTGAGTCGCGTGGTGGGTCGCCGGTGGGTCGCGTGGTGGGTGACGAATGGGTTGCGGGTGGTTCGCGGGTGGGTCGCGGGTCGGTGGCCGGTGGGTCGCCCGTGAGTCGCGCGTGGGTCACGGATGGGTCCCCGGTGGGTCGCGGGCGGGTCGCGAGTGGGTCGCGGGTGGGTCGCGGGCCGGATCGCGGGAGGGTCGCGGGCGGGTCGCGGGCTGGGTCGCGGGTGGGTCGCGGGTGGGTCGCGGGTCGGTCGCGGATAGGTCGCCAGTGGGTCGCGCGTGGGTCACGGGTGGGTCAGGGTTGGGTCGCGGGCCGGGTCGCGGGCGGGACGACGACAACAAAGAACAAATATAAAATAACAAAAAACAAAGACCAACGACAACAACAGCAACAACAACAACAGCAGCAACAACAACAACACCAACAACAACAATCATAATAGAGCATTAGCAAACATGATGGACCCACGAACCCGGAAAGGGATAAAGACATGTGCAGCAGGTCACGATAAAGACATGTGCAGCATGGTCACGTTTTCACGATACCCAACTGGGCGACATCATCCATCCCACTCACCACCCAAGACGACGACACCTCACGAAACATTCCACGAGACACCTCACGAAACATTCCACGAGACACCCCGTGAAACATTCCACGAGACACCCCACGAACAGGCAACCACTCAACCAGACACGCCACGAAACATTCCACGGGGGTGCGACTGGGTGTGGTCGTGCTGGGGTGTGGTCGTGCTGGGGTGTGGTCGTGCTGGGGAGTGGTCGTGCTGGGGTGTGGTCGTGCTGGGGGGTGGTCGTGCTGGGGGGTGGTCGTGCTGGGGGGGTGGTCGTGCTGGGGGTGGTCGTGCTGGGGCGTGGTCGTGCTGGGGCGTGGTCGTGCTGGGGCGTGGTCGTGCTGGGGTGTGGTCGTGCTGTGGTGAGGTCGTGCTGGGGTGTGGTCGTGCTGGGGTGTGGTCTTGCTGGGGTAGGGTCGTGCTGGGGTCGGGTCGTGCTGGGGTGTGGTCGTGCTGGGGTATGGTCGTGCTGGGGTGGGGTCGTGCTGGGGTGGGGTCGTGCTGGGGTCTGGTCGTGCTGGGGTGTGGTCGTGCTGGGGTATGGTCGTGCTAGGGTGGGGTCGTGCATTTCGCTCGAGACATCCTGCCAAAATTCCAGGAAATCGTACAAAAACAAACGAATTAGTCGAGACATCATCGAAATTCCTGCGCGCGGGGCGCTTTTCCGCGTCGCGGTCGGCTCTGCAAAACCAGCGTGTCGCTCGAGACATCCTCAACAAATTCTGAAACCAAGCGTTTCGCTCGAGACATCCCCAACTCTGCAAAACCAGCGTCTCGCTCGAGACATCCTCAACAAATTCTGAAAAACAAGCGTTTCGCTCGAGACATCCTCAAAAATAATTTCGCTGGCCTCCTTCGACCTCGATATTTATCAGAGAAAAATTTCGCCGGCCTCCTTCAAGTTGGGCACCGGGGACACAACAACAACACCAACAACAACAATCATAATAGAGCATTAGCAAAAAAGCATACCACTAATCATAACAACAATACAGCTAATCATGTTCAAAGACGTTCGCTCTTATCCGCTCGCGTGCCACTCAACAAGGATATCCCGAACCCTCGATACCCGCCTTCTTCGTTTTCAATCATGGTCCCCTTGGGGGGATCTCCTCTTTACCTGCCACGCCCATTCAGCGCAGCCCGTAAAACAAGGGAAGAAACGGCGGATTGAAGGGGACGGAAAAGGATGGAGCACGAGAGAAATTAGCAGGAGAAGGGGCTAGGAACAGAAAGCACGTGGCAGAACCAAAGGGGCAAAGCGGGCGGGCAGACCCTAGCGGGCCTGCTGGGAAGGCGGGCCCAGGCGGCCAGGTCGAGCAGGCGGGTTGCTGAAGCGTGGGTCCTGCGTGAATCGCGAGGGTCAACAACAACAACATCAACAACAACAACAACAACAACAACAACAACAACAACAACAACAACACAGCAACAACAACAACAAAAACAAAAACAGCGTTTGAACACGATTCCTGCATGTATTGTGAGGAGGTCCCGCGCGAGATCGCGATGTTGAAATACATTGTGAGGACGTATCAGGAGGGAGCAGTTGTTTCTCTAGTTCGGGGCCCAACAGTCAAGTATGGTGGCCCTCCACTATATCTTGTAAAAACAAGGTGCGAGATCCAAGAGAAGCACTTGAATTTAAAAGTAAAACTCATACCAGGCATGGGGGGGCAACAACAATTACTTGTTAGAAGTGAGAATCATTTTAATACTGTTCGCTCTAATCTGCTCGCGTGCCATTCAGCACGTATGTCCCAAACTATCGATACCCGAACTCTGCGTCTTCGACTGTCCCCTCGATACCCGCCCTCTGCGTCTTTCGTGTTTCGGCTTCCCCCTTACCCCGTCCTTCCATCAGTCCTCTCTTCCCCAGCCTGGGGTGCTGCACGAAATTCACGTTGCAGGTAAGGAAAAGATGCACCAATGGGGTACGATCGAAGACGAGGGCGGGTATCTAGGGTTTGGGATATACGTGTTGAATGGCACGCGAGCAGATGAAAGCGAGCAGTCTCAAAATAATTGTTGTAGGTGTGATTGTTTGTGTTGTTGGTGCTGTTATTGTTGCGGTTGATGGTGTCGTTGGTATTGTTGTTGTTGTTGCTGTTGTTGTTGCTGCTGTTCGTGGCACAGCTGCTGTTGGTGTTGCTGTTACTGTTGGAACTGTTGTTGTTTTGGATTCTCATTTCTAAAGAGTAGATATAGATGACCCTCCCTGCCTGGTGCCCATTTTGTGGTTCAAGGAAAATGTTCCTTCTGGGGTTTGCAACCTGTTTTCTTTGACAAGGGACACCGAAAAGCCACCAAACTGAATTGTTGGCGCCCACAGTTTGCAACAACGGCGGCTGCCGCGTGATACTTCCTCGAAGTGGATCCCACAATCGCGCTCTCGCGCGGGATTTCCTAATAACGTACAAAGGAATCGCACTCTGACGTGGGACTTCCTCACAATTTATTCAGACGCCGCGCCCTAAGCACTCAAGAATCACGCTTTCGCTGCGGAGCTCCTTACGACTTACACATGCAGAACGCACGTTTCAGCAACCCGCCTGCTCGACCTGGCAGCCTGGGCCCGCCTTCCAGACCCGCCCGTTAAGTAGGGTCTACCCGCCCGATCTGCCCGTCTGGTTCTGCCACGTGTTTTCTGTTCCTAGCCCCACTCCTGCTACCCTCTCTCTCTCTCGCTCTTGTGCTTCCTCATCCTCCCTCCCCCCGTGCCCTTTCCTTCCATCCGTCCTCTCTTACCTGCCTTGGGGGCTGCAAGAATACACGTTGCAAGTAAGAAAGATATACCCCTTAAAGGGGTCAATCGAAGAAGAATGGGTGGGTATCGACGGTTTGGGATATTCGTATACACGTGTTGAATGGCATGCGAGCAGGTAAGAGCGAACGGTATGTTGTTGATGTTCTTGTTGCTGCTGTTGTAACTGCCGTTGCTGGTGTGGCTGTGGTTGTGGTTGTTGTTGTTGGTGGTGTTGTTGTTGGTATCGATATCGTTCTAGTTGGATGAAGTAAGTGGTGCTGTTGATGTTGTTGATGTGGTTGGTGGTGGTCTTGCTGTTGGTGATGTTGGTGATGATCTGGTTGTTGGTGTTGTGATTGTTGGTTGTTATGGATGGTGTGGTTGTTGTGATTGTTGTTGTAGCTGATGATGTTCGGTGCTCGTTGTTTGGTGTGTCATGTGTTGTGGTTATCGTCGGTGTTGTTGTGTTGTTGTTCCTGATGTTGTTGTTGTTGATGATGTTGTTGTTGTTGCGATTAGTGTTGCTGTTGCTGCTGTTGCTGTTTGTTGTTGTCTGTTATTTGTTGACGTCGTCCCGCCCGCGACCCACTCCGCAACCCACCCGCGACCCACCCGCGACCGACGCACGACCCACTCGCGACCCACCAACGTTCCACGCGCGAACCACCCGCGCCCCGGCCCGCGACCCGCCCGCGACCCACCCCCGACCCGCCTGCGACCCGCGCGCAACCATCCGCGACCCACGCGCGACCCACGTGCGACCCACCCGCGACCCACCCGCGACCCACCCGCAACCCACCCGCGACCCGCCCACGACCCGCCCGCGATCCACCCGCGACCCACCCCGCGCCCGCCCCCTCGCTCTTATCCGCAACTGCGGGGTGCTACGGATCCCAAAGGGGTACGATCGAAGACGAAAAAGGCGGGTACCGAGGGCTTTGGGAGAGACGTGTTGAATGGCACGAGGGAAGGTAAGAGCGAACCGGCTTGAAATGATTATTGTTGTTGATGCTGTTGTTGTTGCTGGTGTTGTTGGTGGTGTTGTGGTTGTGGTTGTGATTGTGGTTGCGGTTGTGGTGGTGATTGTGGTTGTGGTTGTGGTTGTCGCTGTCGTTGTTGTTGTTGGTGGTGGTGATGCTGTTGCTGTGGTTGTTGTTGAATTCTCACTTCTAAAAAAATGTGTTGTGCTTCTCCCGGGGGTTGTACCCTGTCATCAACCATACTGCACTCCTGGCCCCTGGTTTGCAACAACAACGGCTCCCGCCTGGTACTTCCTCACAAATTATTCCACAATCGCGCTCTCGCGCGGGACCTCCTCACAAATTATGCAGGAATCGCGCTCAAGCGCCGGACTTCCTTACAATTTATTCAGACGCCGCGCCCTCGACTCAGGAATCACGCTCTCGCTGTGGAATTCCTCACGATTGATTCGGAAATCGCGCTATCGCTTGACACGTCCTCGCAATTAGTGCAGGACGCACGCTTTAGCAACGCGACTGATCGGCTTGGCCGCCTGGGCCCGCCTTCCAGACCCGCCCGATAAGATCTACCCGCCCGATCTGCCCGTCTGGCTCTGCCGCGTGTTTTCTGCTCCTGGACACCCCTCCCGCTACTCTCTCTCGTGTTCCATCCTTCTCCCTCCCACATTGTCCCTTCCTTCATCCGTCCTCTCACCCCTGCCTTAGGAGCTGCACGTAATGCACGCTGCAAATAAGAAAGATATATCCGCAAGGGGGCACGATCGAAGACGAAGAGGGCGGGTATCGAGGGTTTGGGATAACGCGTCGAATGGCACGCAAGCAGATAGGATCGAAAAGTATTAACAATATTGGTGTAATCGTTGTGGTCGATGTTGTTGTTGCCGTTGTTGTTGCTGTGAAGGTTGTCGTTGTTGTGGCTGTTGGTTGTTGTGGTTGGTGTGGTTGTTGTGGTTGCTGTTGTTGCTGCTGCTGTGGTTATTGATGTTGTTGGTGGTGTTGTAATTTTGTTGGTTGTTGTTTGTTGTTCCTGTTTGTTAGTTGGTCTATGTTGTTTGGTATATGGTGTTTGTTGTTTGTTGTTTGTTGTTTGCTGATTGTTGTTGCTGTTGCTTCTTGTTTGTTGTCGTCGTCCCGCCCGCAATCCGGCCCGCGACCCACCCGCGATCCAGCTGCGACCCACCCTCGACCCGCCCGCAACCCGCCCGCGACCAGCCCGCGCCCCACCCGCGACCCACCCGCGACCCCCCCCCCGCGACCCGCCCGCGACCAGCCCGCGACCCGGCCCGCGGCCCACCCGCGACCCACCCGCGACCCACCCGCGACCCACCCGCGACCCACCCGCGACCCACCCGCGACCCACGCGCGACGCACTGGCGACCCACCCGCGACCCACCTTCGACCCACCCCGCAACCCACCCGCGACCCACCCCGCAACCCACCCACACAACCCACACACAACTCGCCCGCGACCAACCCACGACCCACCCCGTGCCCGCCTCCTCACTCTTATCCGCAACTGCGGGGTGCTACGAATTTACGCATGTGCTGGTGTGTGTGTGTGTGTTGAGATGTCTCCGACCGGCGTGTCAGCGCAGACATGAATGTTTTAGGCCAACGCGCACTCCAGACTAGCATGCGCTACGAGAGCGGGCCAGGTCAGAAAAGAAGCGTCGTGGCTGCCACGTCCTCACGTGGTTGGATCTTGAACGAGGGCAGCCTGTGCAGGCCTTTCGAAGAGGCGAAGCCCTCACGATCAAACACCAACTTGCTCCCAAGAGCCCCTCCCCATGAAGAGGATGAGGAGGGACGAGGAGTTAGATGGATGGGGAGGAGAAGGATGATCGTGCATGTCATTGAAGTATTTGGGGGAGGTGGGAGAGGTGACAGGGGGAAGGCCAGCGCGAGCACAATCGTGCAGATCAGACGATCGTCACGCTAGGTGATTGCCACTGCCTGCTGCAAACTCCAGCACGATTGTCACGCTGGTCCAGGCCAGTCTCAGCACAACTGTGCAGGGGACATTGGGGTGGGGACGGAGCACCGCAGTGCAGTGCAAGATCTTACAGGCCAGCACAAGCGTAAGACGATGCTCTGCAGATCAAGCGTCTAAAGCCTGATCAACGAAAAGGGTGAGCAGCAGTTGCAGCAGCGGCGAGGCTTGCGCAAGCCTGCCACGTAGGTGCTAGGTCCTATCGCTTGCCAAACGCGGGCTACTCATCGCCTTCCTCGCGTGGCGCTGGCGGGCGGAACCTCCAGGCGTCGAGGACAATGCAAGCGACGCCGGCTAGGATGATGAGAGCACCCAGGACCTGCGGGCAGCTGCGGACATCCCTAACCCGGCGGAAATGTCATGCGACGCCCACCGCCTCAGCACCCGCTTCACAAAAACAAATACCAGAATTTACAGCGGTCAGCGCGCGTGCTGGTGCATCTAGTGCGTCCGATAAACTTCTACACAGTCTTGTGCACCCTTATATACCCGTGCGTGATGTCATGTCTTGACGCCGTACAAAGTGGCGACCGCGTGGCAAGTACTTAACTACGATGATCCGTGCTCGCACAATTGTATTATGGTGTACGCGGCCTGATATAAAGAAGAGGTGCATCTTACGCCTTTGCTGTGATCTGGTTATCTCTACTCCATACTCCACTGGAACCACCTCGGTTCGATTCGATTCGGTTCGATCTATAGTAGACTAGGCTCCCCTGGCGCCTCGTTCCGTTGTGCACTTCGCAGCCCACCAGGGGCATGGTCCCCCACAAGCCGTATGATGTCACTGCGCTGGGCCCACCAGCAGCCATGGAGAGTAGCGACAGCTTCGAAGTTCGCAGACCCCCAAGGACGGCGAGGTCTAAGCTCAATCCCCGTATGACGTAACTGCGCTGGACCCACACCTGCCGAAGATAGCGTCAGTTTCGCAGTTCACAGCCCCCCAGGGGATGGCGAGGTCCAATCTGAATCTCCAATGACGTCACTGCGCTGGGCCCACTGGCAGCCGTCGAGCCGTCGAAACTGGCGACGCTTTCGCAGTTCGCAGTCTCCAGGGATGGCGAGGTCTCACCTGTATGTATCCCCGAATGATGTCACTGCGCCTGGCCCACCATCCCTCGAAAGAGGCTACTGTTTCGCAGCTCGCAGCCCCCCAGGGATGGCGAGGTCTGAGCTGAATCCCCGTATGACGTCACTGCGCTGGACACCCAAAGTGGCGACACATGCAGCCCTCCAAAGTGGCGACCCATGCACCGGTCGCAGCTCCCCAGGGATGGCGAGGCAGGAGGCAGGCTAGCAGGCAGAAAAGAGGCAGGCAGGAGGAGCCCACAGGTGAGACGAGGTACGAGACAGGGTAGGGGCGAGGTAGGAGGAGCTGGGCGAAGGAGAAGGGAGGCGGGAAGGAGGGCGGAGTGGAAACCGAGGTCTTGCATTCAAAACAAGGAAACATACAGCTACCCAGCTGCGAACCCACCAACGACCCACGCGACCCAGACGCGACCCAGCCGCGACCCACCCCGCGCCCGCCCCCTCACTCTTATCCGCAATTGCGAGGTACTACATGGGAATGGCATTTCTCACGCGAACGAGGCGTCACGTGCTGGCGCGATGGCGCACCCGCAGCCGTCGCGGGCAGAGATCGATTGCGTTGGCCGGCTCGTCACCACTTCGCGCTCTGTCCGTCGGCTCGCTGCTCGCTAAGTTGCTTCCCAATTGACCGAGCGGAGCGAAGCGAGGCGAACCCCAGTCGGGCGCGCTCCGCGGGGGAGCCCGCCCGTGCCCATCAGGGCACATCGTGGTGGCCGTCGCCTCGAAACTCGAACGCGAGGAGGTTGTCCCCCCCCCTCTTCCTTCTCCTCCTCCTCCTCCTCCTCCTCCTCCTCCTCCTCCTCCTTCAACATGCCCCAAATACTCCTTGAGACATGATCCAAAAACAAAATGTTGATAGTCATCAGTCGGAAAGGTCGTCGATGGCGATCTTGTTTGGCGGAGGGCTGACGATGCCCGATTGGCCCAATTGGCCCAGACTTGACCTGGAGGGTCGTCCGTGGGTCAGTGCGGGGCCCCTGGCCTAGGCCAAGGAGCCACGAGTCCCAGGACCTCCGCACCGCCAGGAATGGCAGGTCAACTTGCGGAGATGTGCCGTGTGTCGGTAGGGATGCGGGTTCCCTCTTCCCGCCTCCTGTGTCAGGCTGTCCGACAGGCCCCCTCAAGAGAATCTACTGTGCCTACGTGCCGGGGCCTCGACATTGCGGACTCGAATGGTCGGAGTGCCAACGGTGCAGATGTTTGCGTCTGTGTGCTGTGTGGTGCCTAGCTCCAGCATGGAGCCTGTGTCAAGAAAGAACAGGTACGAAGCTGCTCGCGCGAGCTCTCTAGGCACGGAAAGTGAGCAACCTCGGCGGCCCGAACGTTGCCTCGGGTTGTCACACCGTTTTGCCGTCTAGCGGTTTCTCAGCAGCTGCGCCTCAGAGGACTCCCCCCCTGTCCAGCGAGGGACTCCCTTTAGTGCCCAGCGGAAGCTGGAGGGTACTGTCTTGACCAGCGGGTGAGCAAAGCTCCCCGCCGTCCACTCACCTGACTTGCTCATCCCTCCTGATCCTCCTCTTCCTACTTCCTCCTCGTCAGCATCATCCTCCTCCTCAGCAGCATCATCTTCATCAAACCTGCATCATCATCATCATCATCAGCATCATCATCATCATCATCAGCAGCAGCAGCATCTGCATCAGCATCAGCATCAGCATCAGCAGCATCCTCATCATCCTCATCCTCATCCTCATCCTCATCCTCATCCTCATCCTCATCATCATCATCATCATCATCATCATCATCAGCAACATCAGCATAGCAGCAACATCACCATCATAGCAGCATCATCATCATCAGCATCATCATTCATCATCATCATCGTCATCATCAGCACCATCGGCATCCATCATCATCATCATCAGCATCATCGGCATCATCATCGATTCATCATCATCATCATCAGCATCAGCATCAGCATCAGCATCATCAGCATCATCAGCATCATCATCCATCATCATCATCATCATCAGCATCATCAGCAGCATCATCATCAGCATTAGCATCAGCATCATCATAATCTGCATCAGCAGCATCATCATCAGCAGTATCAGCATCCTCATCAGCATGACCACCACCATGATCCTCATCAGCATCCTCATGCTGATCATCAACATCATCATCAGCAGCAGCATCATCATCAACATGAGCATCAGAATCAGCATCGTCAGCATCAGCATCATCATCACCCTCATCGGCATCATCATCAGCAACATCATCAGCATCATCAGCAGCATCATCAGCATCATCGTTATACTCATCAACAGCATCATCATCATCACCATCACCATCATCATCATCATCATCATCATCATCATCATCATCATCCTACTACTACTCCTCCTCCTCCTCCTCAGCATCATCGAGGTCGCCATCCTCATCATCACCACCACCACCATCCGTTTGTGTTGGCTCATGCCAGTTGGTCTCAAACCGTTTGGCGCGCGCGTCGGCATGCCGATTCCGCCTGCGTGGAGAGCGGCGTGAATGGCGCGGGGTGCCGCCGAGTCGGCAGCAAGCGAACGAGAGGCAGATGCACCCGGAAGGCCGTCGGCTGCGAGAAGGTGGGCCCAGGCCTCGCGCGAGGCGCACGTGCAGGAGCTGCGAAGCAGGTGGACTTCTGGAAGACCAGGTGCGACGTCCTCGGCCAGGAGTTCGGAGATGCAGAGCTCGTCGACAGGCTCCTGGCCTTAGTCCCAGTGCTGAGGGTGAGCAGGCGGGCGATAGCAGAGTGCGCGTGGACTTGGAGGGCCCTGTGGAGCCGCGACTGGTGCAGCACACCCCGCCGACCTCGACCTGGTCGTCGTCGGCAGGGCGCGCGACTCGTCTGAGTGCGGAGGACGAGGACCTGACGGTAGAGGAGAAGCTGCTGGCTTGTACCACGATGCCCGAGCAGGGGATCGCCAAGGCCGAGTTTGCTGGCGTGGCGGACGCGAACGTGGCTGTCGACTGTGAGGACCTCGCGGGCCCGGCAGCCCTCGAGGTGGAGGGCAGGGCCGAGGGAGCGCAGGGGACGCCAACGGAGGAGCCGACCGAGGCGCACGACGGGGAGGAACACGACTTCTACATCAAGGCAGGGTCACTGGCACTGTTCAGGAGCTTCACCAGTGAAGGAGGCCTCGGACGAGCCAGTGAAGACGACCTCCCCGACGGCGCGAGAGCTCGATGCGAGTCTACCGCCGACTTTCGTGGTAGGGCAGGTGTGACAGAGCGAGGGTCTGCAAATGTGGCCACGGCGCAGAGTTTGCAGCTGCTGACAGTGAGTACGAATGCGATTCCGAGTACGGTTTGCTGCCCTTTTTGGGGGGGACTGAGATATTAGATCCCAGTGAGAGGCCAGGAGCGTCGCAGTGTATTAGTTCTGACATCTGACCCCGCTTCGTTCGGCTGCCTGGTCTAGCAAAGTGTGCGTCGCCGTGTGCGCCGCCTCTAGGCAGGAGATGGATCGTGAGTGGAGTGCAGCAGAGGATGACTGGAGCCCAGCCTGGGCCATCGGCGTCGCTGAACCTGCGGCACAGCAAATCACCACCATCACTAACATCATCCTCAGCATCCTCATCCTTATCATAACCTTAACAGTCACCATCACCGTGGCCATCACCACAATCATCATCAGCATCAACAGCATCAGCATCATCAGCAGCAGCATCAGCATCAGCATCATCATCATCATCAGCATCATCAGTGTCAGCATCATCATCATCATCAACATCAGCATCATCAGCAGCAGCATCACCAGCATCATCATCAGCAGCAGCATTATCAGCATCATCATCACCATCGTCCTCATCCTCGTCAGCATCATCAGCAGCGTCATCCGCATAATCATCATCATCATCAGCACCATCAGCAGCATCATCATCATCAACGTCATCATCAACAACACCATCAACATCATCATCAGCAGTATCACCATCAGCACCATCAACACCATCATCACCATGCTCATCAGCATCGCCATCAGTACCGCCATCAAACATCACAATCATAATCGACGACAGTGTCTTCATCGTCGTTACCACCATTATCACCACCGCCATGATCATCAGTCTCATCATCATCATCATGGTCATCATCTGTCTTGTCAGCATCAACAGCATTAGCAGCAGCAGCATCACCATCAACATCAACACAAACATCATCATCATCATCACCACCATCATCACCATCATCATCATCATCATCATCATCATGAACACCATCAGCAGCATCATCAATATCATTGTCAGCAGCATCAGTATCAGCATCAGCGTGACCATCACATCATCAGCATCATCATACTCATGATGCTCAGTCTCACCATCAGCGTGACCATCGCAACATCAGCATCATCAACATCAACAGCAACGTTATCATCAGTATCAGCATCATCATCACCATCATCATCATTATCATCATGGCTTAGCATCAGCGTCCTCAACATCGCAATACATCCATCAATCCATCCGTCTATCCTCACCCTACTACTCATCCGCATCCTAATGATCATCCTTCTCAGCACCAGCATCAGCATCATCATCAGCAGCATCGTCATCATCATCAGCATCTTTAGCAGCAGCATCAGCATCATCATCAGCATCATCATCGTCAGCAGCATCACCGCCAGCATCAGCATCATTATCAGCATCAGCATTATCATCAGTATCGTCATCGTCAGCATCATCATCATCATCATCATCATCATCATCATCAGTATCAGCAGCAGCATCATCATCAGCATCATGATGATCGTCATAGTCATGGTCGTCGTCGTCAGCAGCAGCAGCAACAGCAGGAGCAACGGCATCATCGTCATCATCAGCCCTTCCTCCTCCTTCTCCGCCTCCACTAAGAACCTGGGCTGGCTGCGGCAGCTGCAGCGACTGGTTTCCGTGGTGGGTCTCGTTCCAGCCCGCCGCCACCAGCGTCGCCTAGCCGAAGCCAGCCACCTCTTCTCCCTCCCCTCCTCCCTCCCCTCCCCTCCTCCTCCCTCGTCCCTCCTCCTCCCTCCTCCTCTTCTCCGTGTCCCTCGTTCTCAACCGCTGCATCCGCCACATCCTCCCTCTCTCCTCACTCCTCCAGCTACCCCTCCTCATGCTCGTGATATTCCCAGTCCTCGTCTCAGTCCTCCTCCCACCTTCGCGATCTCCTCAACTTATCCGCGTCCGCATCTTTGTCATCCTCCCTTCCTCCTGCTGATCCTTCATCCTCACCCCTCCTACCCCTCACTCTCCATGCCAGTGTGGATCCTCCTGATCATCATCGTCATCTGGGTAGTCGCAGCCAATCTGGCGCCAATCTGGCAGGCCCAATCTGGCAAACGGAGGCAATCTGGCGAGGGAGCCAACGCGAATCCAGTCTAGCGAACAACCCAAATCCTCCAATATGGCCAGGCCAGATTGGCCCTTGGGGCCCAATCCAGTCTGACAGTCTGGCCTTCGACTACCCAGGTCATCATCAGAGTGCTCGTCCTGGCCATCATTATAACCGGCAACGTCATCAACGCCGAGCCTCCCTCCTCGCCTCCCGCCCTCGCACTTGCTTCCACAGCTTCCTCCACATTGTCCGTCTCCTCAGCAGTCCTCCTTTTCCTCCTCCTCCTCCTCCTCCTTCTCATCCTCCTCCCCCTCCTCCTCCTTCTCCTCCTCCTCCTTCTCCTCCTCGTACCCATCCTCATCCTCATCCTGAGCCTCATCTTCCTCCTTCACATCCTGTTCCTTCCCCTCCTCACCGTTTTCCTTCTCCGCCTAATGATCATTCCTCCCCGTCATCCTCGAGCATGTTCTTCCTCTCGTCCAAGAGCGGGCCACATTCTGGATCCGAAACCTTCCTCGGCAGTGACGTCCCACTTGTTCGATCATCGCCGCCATCCGCTAAATATCAGGCATCTCCTACGCTTCCCATTCCCGCACCTCCTCCGCTTCCCTCGCATCCATCCCCTATCACCCCTTCCATCATCCTCATCCTGCGCATCGTCCGGCTCATCTGACAAATCCTTGCCCAACGTACAGAAGCCCCTTTCTCATTGCGCATCACACGATGCGGTCATTGAAAAAGATTACGGCCTTGGAGGACATTCCACGGAAACAACGGAGTCCGTCGCAATAGGAACGTATGGGCGGGAGGGGTAGGATGTCAGACATGGTGCGAGCACACCTAGCTTGATATGAATACTACTCTCCTTAGTTCCCCTTATCATGTGCAGCGATGCCCCCGCCTCCATCGTATATTTCGTAGCATTCCGAATATGTCACGTGTTGGTGTTTCTTGTTGTTGTTCGATCGGGACCATTCGGTTCTCTCAAAATTGGGTTCCCGCTGCAGCGTTGGCCACATTTCAGAATCGGCGTTTGCTCACGTCGTTCAAAATGGCACTCTCGCCCCAGCGCGGGCCGCACTTCGAAATCCGATTCCTTCCTCGTCGTTGCCGCCCGCCTCTTTCCCACTCATGCCGCCTTCAGCTTGTCCTTTGGTCAACCCGCTCCTCCTGCTCGTCGTGAACCTGCTGCCGCTGCTCCTCCCCTTTTCCTGACAATCTTCCTCTTCCTCCTGCTGCACACTCATGCTCATCACCGCCTCCTCCTCCCCATCCTCCTCCAACTCCTCCCCCTCCTCCTCGTACTCCTCCTGCTCCTCCTTCTTCTCCTCCTCCTTCTCCTGCTGCTCCTCCTCCTCCTCCTTCGTACAGAGCCCCTTTCTGAGTGCGCATCACTCGACGGGGCCAGATTGAGGATCAAGGCCATCTGGGACACCCCAGCCAGCGGCGGCTCCACGGCCCGCGCGCGACCGGGATAGCCGCAGCTGGTGGGAGCGTGGGTTGGTCTTCGGTGACTGGGCAGGGCGGTGGCGTCGGGGCCCTGTGCGAATGATCGTCCCACTTGATGCCTCTGCCTCGGTCTGCCGCGACCTGCGCTACCCGGGCATCGTGTCCCGCCGCTGCGTGAGAGCGACGGCGTGACGGGGGGGTCGCCGAGTCTCCCCGCCTGCGCACTTTGGGCCAGGGGTCAGGGCCCAAGCTAACCAGTGTGCTCCGTTTTCGTCTTGACTTCGCTTTCCCTCGCTCTGTCTCCGTTCCGCCTTTGCTGCAAGATGAGATCAAAACGGAAACGGTCCACACCAGGGGCCAGTTCTGTCCTCGGCCGCCTGGTCCACGCGCGCCGAGGCCGCAGTCGCCGTGGCGTGTGCGAAGCGGCTGGGAGGGGCCCGAGACTGGGCTCGGCGCGTGGCGGTCACCCGACACCGCTGCCTGCACGCGTGGGTGGCGTCCGTGTGGGTTGCGGCGCGTCGCTGCGGGCCGCTCGCAACAGCGCCGACGTCGGACTCCTTCGGCCCCCGGCTGCGCTCGCAGACTCCTTCCCATTGGGGTGGCGCGCGGTGGGGGGATGGCCGGCCCGCCGGAGGTCGCTCGCCGCGTGTTGCATTGGGTCGCCCCTGGCGTCGCCGCGGAGTGCCCTCGGGCCCCCACCGTGCCTATGGCCCTACGCTCCGTCGGGCCCCCACCGTGGCTATGGCCCTACGCGTAGTCAGCAAGTGGGCCCATGTCGTTCCTCAAGACGCCCTGCTGGCGCAGGAAGCCCTCAAGCACCCTCTTCTTTGCACGCCCGGAATGGGAACGGAAAGTATGGGTGCCATGCCCAACAGCAGCGCCTGTTCATGTGGAGCACAGGTTCCTGTCCTTCGGAGTGAAAGCAACTCGTCTCCATGGGAACCACAATGCATGTCAAATGGACTAGATTCGCTGCCAAGACAACCAAATGTGTTTTGCACCCAACGCAAAGACACGCACCGCAACTGAGGGTAAACTAGGCGTGACACCGGAGAAATTGCTCCCCAGATAATCGGCGACTGTCGGTCGTCGTATGTACACTGTTGCACCAGTCCTCTTGCTGAATATCAAAAGCAGTTCAACGTGCTGATATCTTTAAAAAGGAAAACAACGACAAGGAGAAAGAGGAGAGGAGGAAAGAAGAGCGAGAGTAAATGTGGTGTGCTGTCGCATTGACAAGATGTGGCCAATGGGCAACGAAGGTAAGCTGATTTGCTAAAGGAGAGAAGGCACTGCTGTTGGGCATCGTACTCACTCACATGTTCCATCCCCACTCTGGGCGAGAAAATTCTTGGAGTGTTTCTTCGGCACCCTGCCAAATGTCTGGTGGACGGATGCGTTGTTTGGGGCCCAGGGCATAGACGCCGCGGTCGCCTCCAGGGGGCGTGCCCCCTACTACCAACACTAACTATCTTGAGATACGTTTGAGGTCGGGCGGACTCCAGTGGTCTCTCCAAGCCCAGCGAGCCCCATTGGTCGACGCTGGCTGCCTGGCCACGTCGAGCGGCTTCGGCGGTGGCGGAGTGAAGATGCAAGGCGGCGCAAGGACTGGGTCCGAAGACCAAGACCTACCCGGAATGGTCGCGCAGCCCGAAGCATTCGATGTCGCCGAAGGGCTGTTCGGCGCTCTTGGCGAGGACAGGGTAGGGCGGCAGCTCGAGACTGAGGGGCAGTGGTGGGTTCACGCCTGCGTCTACCTCGCCCACTGGGAGGTGCTACACTTGGCCCCTGTTTTACCCTGGGTAGTTGCGCAGGTCCGGGTAGGCAGAGCTAAATTTACGAAAGTCATGTAGCATGGGGCAGAGGGGCTTCCGCGCGTCTCTTCCGGCCTTTGTCACGCTGTTGCGAACGATGTGATCGTCCCAAAGGCTCCTCAGTTCCCCGTTGCGCCCGGTGGGCCAGAGGACGAGGTTGACAAAGGACAGCCGGTGGCCGTCGAAGACGAGGTCCCCCAGTGGTTGCCAACCGGCGGTGGTGCAGTCGTCCTGGCAGACCTCGCTTGGGAAAGTGTGGAGGAACGCGGGCCTGTGCTCGACTGGGTTGGTGTTGCGCGAGCGGCGCCTGCAGCAGAAATCTCGGCTACACGGAGGAGTGACCCTAGTGACCTTTGATGCGCGGCTGCAAGGGGCCGCGCGGAAGTCAAGCGCACAGGCCAAGGCAAGGGGGGACCCCTGCGGGCCCGCAAGAAAGGTCACTCCGGCGAAGGGTCACTCTGACGCGAAGCTGGAAATCGAGCCGGGCCTGTTGAAGTCTAAGGTGGAGGTTGCGCACGTGAGCCACGACCAGGCGAGACCAAGGACGGACATCTCGACGAGCGTCGTGGGGGGGGCGGAGAGGAGCGGGCGTGCTGCGCGCTCGGAAGCGAGGAACCACCATCGGCCTGGGCGTCTCGTCGGCGGTGCTGTGGCAACGCTTTTTCGGCTAACTGCTCCTCTTCCTCCTCCCCGTCCCCCTCCCCCTCCCCCCAACTCCTTCTCCTCCTCCTCCTCCTCTTCTTCCTCCTCCTCCCAAGCCACCTTGGCCCAAGGGATATGGTACCTTCGACAGTTGCTGCCCCTTGGCGCAGGGACCGACGAGCAAGGTGCCCAGCTGGGGCTGGGCCTGCGGCTTGAGGACCCGGAGTGCCGCGCAAGATCGGGTTGAACATATCGGCATGCGGGCCATGGGCCGGTCGAGGCGCTCTCGTGCTGCGAGCGCCTGGGCGCCAGAGGTGCCGCCCGTGGCTCTGCCGCGGCGCGGCGGCGGAGTGGCAGCCAGGGCCGGGGAGGTGACGCTGCCAGAGGTTGCCGCAGCCGCGCAGGAGGAGTCTGCGATGATGCAGGCCGAGGTGGTGGAGGGCACGGCCGACCGGACGTTCATGGAGGTGGGCGTGCCCCCGTTGGTCGAGAAAGACTCTTGTTCATCGGTGACGGCGACGTTGAGGACCGCGGCTTCCCGTGCGCCGTAACGGGCGATCTTCGTGATGAGGATCATGAGGAGATCATTGCCGAAGTCCTAAGGAGGACCCCGAAGGCGGGCGACGAGCTGGACGTGTGTTACCACGACTCCGACCCGCAGGGAGCGAAAGCCGAGTCTGTGGGGAAGAAAATGAAGAAAGGCAAGCTCTCGGAGGAGGCCGAGTACGTGAAGACCCTGCCCGCGGTCCCGGCCTTCCTTGTCTACATGGAGGGGTTCATGCAGGCGCTTGTGAAGAACGCCACTGCCGAGGCCAACCTGGCGGGGCTCGTGGAGTGACCCGTCTCGCAGGACTCTGCCGAGTTAAAGGTGGATCCGGACAACACTATGGAGCCTATGGCCGAGCCCAACATGGCGAGGCTCATGGAGGAGGTCGTCGTGCAAGCCGAGGCCGATGTGAGCGGTGGCATCACCGAGCGTTGGGCGGACCACATCGATGCAGTGTCCCTGATGCTGAGGGAGCTCCCTGGACCTCCAGATTGAGAGCCAGAGCACGCACGAAGAGGCGCAGCGCTTCCACATCGACGGCGACGGCGTGCTGGAGACGCAGGGCCTCGTCGAGGACGAAGCGGAGGAGGGCTCGGACTGACCGAGTGCGCGTATTCCTACCATCTCCTGCCCTACCTTCCCCCCATGCACCTCATCCTCCTCCTGGTCTCCTGAGGCCCAGAAGCCGCTTGAGCCCCGCTTGGGCCCCTGTGAGGCCCACGCCCGCCGCTGCCGTTTGGGGCTCTGGGGCCTCCCAGGGCCCTTGACCATCTTGCGGTCTGCCGCCCCGCGAGCGGCCGAGAGCGATCGGGGCAGCTGCCCCCTGATGCTGCGCGCTGGACAGAAAGAACGGGCTGATTCACACCTTTGGCGCGGCTCCGCCACGTACGACGCGGAGGGGCTCATGAATGAGTCCACGGCCGAACTCTCCATGGATCATTCCATGGGTGGGCTCATTGACCGTAAAGTTGGGGCATACCCCACTTCCGGGTTTGGGCGCAGGGTCGCGGCGCACGCGGTCCCAGGGCCCGACGACTTCGAAAATGGCGTCGACGCGCTGGTCGACAAGGGGGCCAGAGGCCGTGCACTCGACAACGACGCGGTGCAGATCATCGTGAAGAGCGTGCTGGAGTTGCGGCGGCGTGGGCGTGAGATTCGGCTGATGGTTGCAGGGTGGCGCGAGCTGCTGCTTAATGTCCAAATGCGCCGTTGGGAGCGCGAGCAGGTCATGAAGAAAGAGTCGGCGATGAAGATCCTTGAGTGAAGCGGGCGCGCGAGCTCCGTGTCGTTCTTCGTGGTTGGCGGCGCACTGTGGGGAGCAGCACCAGTTCGGGAGGGTGGCAATGAACTGGGTGAGCATGACGGGCTCCAGGTCGTCGGTACGGTACCCGACTGCCTGCATTCGGGTGCCTTCAGGGGTGAGGCAAGCCCGCCGCGTCGGCGGCCCGCGTGCGAGTGAGGCTGCGCGCCTGCGGCCAGGCGGCGTGACGGCCGCCGGGCTGACGAGAGAGCCAGTCGGGTGGACGTAGCGAAACCTGTATCGGCGGGACACCGCGTCGACCTGGGGGCTTTTGTGCCCAGCCTCGGGGTGGCGTCTCGTCGTAGGGTGTAGCCCGGCCCCTCTGGCATAGCAGAAGTTTCCAAAAGGTTCCTCCTCCTCCTCCTCCACCTTCCGTCCCCCTCCTGCCCCCCTCCCCACCACCCCAGCTGTACTCGGCGCCCCCGATCCCGCAATTTGGCCCCCGATCCTCCACGGTGCCCGCCACCACAGGCTGCAGCGCCGTGTAAGCCAGGCAGTGCGTCGGGTCGCGCGCGTGCTTGGCGCCGAACGTCAGGGCTGCGTAGGCCGTAACTGAGCTGCCGAGCACCCAATACGCGAGCGCGAAGATGGCACCCGTCGGGAATTCCCAGAAGCCATGCTGACAGTCCGGGCAGAAGAACCTCCGCATGCTCTCGCTCCCGCTCACCGCCAGCGCGACGCACGCGATGCCGGCCGTCGCGCCGACGTACACGACGGCCAGGGCAGTGTACGACCTCATGCGGCGGGTGAGCGCTCTCATCGCGAGGACGAAAGTGGCGGTGCCGAGGCAGTTCAGAAAAAACAAGATGTTCCCTGCAACTTCAGAGTCCCCAGCGCCGCTGCCGCCGTTCTCTGCGCCGCCGAGGGTCATGAGCAGACCGCCCCCGAGCGCGCACAGCACGCCGCCCAGCTTGCCCCACGAGAAGACCTCCCACCTCAGCAGAACGGCGATGAACAGCACGAAGATCGGCTGCGAAGGACATGAGCAGGAAAGGGAGTGGGAGGGAGGGCGGAGGGTCAGCGGGGATGGGGGGCTGGAGGGATCCTCCTGCTGGCACCCCTCGCATACACTCAACTTCGCTGTCCTTGCGCAGAGCGGAAGGGATGAAAGATCCCCTCGCCCACGCTAACCAGGAAAAACTGGTGCTGCTGGGCAGGCCGAGGTCTGGCTGGGCCCTTGAGCGAAAGAAGGGAGCAGGCAGCTGCTGCATGTATCTCAGCGGCGGTGCGATGACCAGGCTGAGGACAACCATCCCCGAGCGCATCCCTCGTCCGAGCCACAAGTGGGGGGGCAGGAGCAGGAAGAGAAGGAGGAGGACGAGGAGGAGAGGCGCAGGAAGGGGGACGGGGGAGGGGGGAGGGGGCAAGGGGGAAGGGAGGGTCGAGGATCGAGGAGCACGGGGCGGCGCAGTGGACGCGACCACCGCCGCGCCCCCCACGGAAGCGAGGGAGGAGAAGGGAAGGGATTACGGGAGGGGCGGGAAGCGGGAGGAAGGGGGTGGTGGGAGAGGGAGGACCAGAGCAAGCCAGGGATGCAGCCACGACGCCGCAGCAACTGCACCCCGTCGCTGGCCCGGGGGGCCCCTCCCCGTGAGCCCCTGCGAACTGCCCTCTCCACCGCGGGAGGCGCCCCCCCTCGAACGGCGAGCGCTCGGTGGGCCTGCCACTCGGGCGAGGCCCCCGCCTGGTAGAAGATCTGCCCTCTGTTGCATCCCTCCGGCCTCCGACGAGCACACACCGGAGTGGTCAACAGCATGTGCTCCACGGTCCTCCCTTGGAGATGCGCCTTCCGTCCGCACAAGTATGGCACAGTGTCAATCGCCCGGCCATGACATGCGCGGAAGTCTCAAGCGAGAACCCCATGTTGAACAGGAGCCGCCCTCCATCCGTGCGAGTGTTGCACAAGTTGGAATCTGGGGTCGTAGAATTTGAAAAGAGATTAAGCGAGAGACCCATTCAAAAACCTATCGGCATATCTCTTTATCAGTACTGAGAGATGTCTGGATGGAAGTGCGCAGCGCCAAGGCGAGAGCCACATGTTGTAAACGAGCGGCCTCCATCCACATATCTGCTGAAAGTTTAACAAGCGAATGTGCGCGGCTATGGGGCGCGAGACACATTATGAAAACAAGCGGACTCCATCCTCGCAACTGTTGAAAGCTCTCAAAGCGAATGTGCGTGGCTCTAATGCGAAAGCCGCATTCAATCAGAGCCGTAACCATTTTGGCTCAAGGTAACGGAGGCGAGTCAGAGACGTGCGATCCGGATACCCAACCATGTTATCCTTCTATGAGTCACCAAGATGGCGGCCAAAAGACACGGCATGGGAACCCCGATCGATCATCAGCGTAAGCAAGCTCGTTACGACTCCCCGTTAGATCAGATGGATGGTGGTCTTGCGGATTGCGCTGAGAAATCACCGAAGTCACCCATCCGTCAGCCGGACTTCAGCCAGGCAGCGGAGGGGATTGATATCACACCCGATGAATCATTCATGAAGTCCATGATGACGAAGATGATGGGAATGACGACGAAGATGACGACGGATATGAGCGCAGTGAGGGTGGGGGTGGAGGAGGCCAAGACCAAAGCGCAGCAGGCCGTTGACACAGCTAAGAAGACGGATGCGAAGGTAGTGGGGGCGCAGGAGAGGATGGTGACCAAGGATACTGTGCAGACCATGATCGACGTATCCACCCCTAAGATTCAGAGCGCCGCGATGACCAAAGACGACGTCCAGAAGATGATCGATGAGACGGTGTCCCAGTGTTCGACCCCACGCACGGCGAGGTCAACGGTTGCTGCATCCACGTTGACAGGAGTAATGGAGATTCCTTTGAGAAAACGAATTAATGTGCTACCGATATATGCCGTGACCAGAGACTTCCTCCCCCCGACGCGCAGGACAAGTATTGCAAGGGCAATTTCAAAGGGATATTCTTCATCAAGTTCGCGAACGATGCTGGGCGCCAGGCCTTGCTCGAGGCTGTTGAGAAGTACGCGAAGGCGCACAAAGACCAGAAAAAGGCGTGGGCCAAACCAGCCCTCCCTATCCAGGCCCACGTGCAGCAGAGCGTTCTATTTCAGTATGCTGGTCCAGTTGGGATACAACAAAACTTGCATCAAGGTGGACACGGACGTTGCAGGGACCAAGATGGCGACCGCGACTGTGAAGGACTACAAGCTCGCGCTGAACTGGACCGACAAAGAATGAGAGGATTGGCAGGCGCTCCAGACAGCACCAGAACTTTCCGACATCGTGGACACGGCCCGGAGCAAGCTGGACACGGCGAAGACCCTCAGCGAGTGCAAGGGCAAAGGCAAATGCCCCCATTAGGGGCCATGGCGGTGCGTGGATAGGCAAATTGTTGCACCCCTCGCCCCGGAGAGAAGCGAGGACACAGACCACTGCGAAGACGGCGGCTGCGACAATTTTGTGCGTGTGGGATCTTGGAACGTAGAAAGATTAACATACGTGAAGATTCATGTGATTTGCAAATACATGTACTTCTCTGAGTAATTCAAGCTCTGCGCGGCCCGCTTAGCTTCGACCGGAAAAGGTGCGCTCTCGACCCGCGAATCAAAACATGTATTTGCATTCAGTCGATTTGATGTGTTTACAAGAGACTCGCAAGGCAAAATCTGACCATTTCTACACGGAAAATGGGTACTTCGTGATCTTGTCCATCACCGCAGGGATTGAGGGAGCCGGGCTTCATCCCGCGTGTCCTCGGCTATTGGCAGCTCGATGCCCGCAATGCGAGCGTGAAGATCTCGACCACGACCGGAAAGATAACTCTGTGCACTGTTTATGCCCCGCATAACGAAAAGCCCATTGATGAGAAGATGCATTTTGACGACGTGCTGCAAAAACATGCGAGAGACTTTTTGGCACCAAGATTTCTTTGGAGACTGGAATGCGCGATTGGGGCGACGGCGTACTGTTGAGGACAGCATCTTAGGTGAGCACGGGTTTGGGAAAGCAGCCGATAAACAGGTGGAGCTCCCGAATCGCGACCTCTTGATGCAGTTCTGCAGCGGGCTGGAACTCTTGGTTGCCATTTACCTTTAGCGCCAAAGTACAAGGCCACGTACCATGAACCCGACGTGTCGCCCGGCAGCCCCGTGTCTGAGCCTGGCTTCAACGCCGTTAGCCTGCTTTTCATTCCAGCCGTCCGCGAGCATGAGCTCCAAGATGTGAGGAGCGACACGAGAGCAGTTCTGGCTTCCCACCATTTTCCTGTGATTGCCAAACTTGCTGTTGATGCGCCTGGCGGCGGTCCCCAACGCAAGCCGGTACGGAAGAAGAATTGGTCAGTGCTCGACTCCCTGGGGGTACGACGCACTCTCGTGCGAGAGATCGGGTCCGAAGTTACGGAGTGCAAAATAGTGCAGCCTTTATCACAACGCTGGCGGTCATTGGCGGGAGCCGCCATGCAGGCGGTCAACAGCGTCGGTCTGGATCTTCCCCGAGTTCCGAATGAGCCTTGGATTTCTAAGCGTATCTCACGAGTCTTGATCAGAAGAGGGCTGCTCGAGATAGGGGAGACTGGATGGCAGAACGGAGGATGCGAAAAGAAGTCAAGATGTATGCGAAACGTGATCGCGCGGATTGGATCGAGAATTTGACCGCCAAAGGGACTGGGCGAGCATCAAGAAACTGACCAAGCCAAGACCGCACCCACAAGGGCGGCTCTGGAACAGCAGTGGGGAACTCGTATCAACAGACTGCAGGGCCGAGACATTTGCGCAGCATCTCGATTCGATACAATGGTATGTCCGCCCAGTCACGCTGGTCCCAAACACGGACGTGGAATTGCACCCGCCCCTGGACGTGAACACCGGGCTATTCACAGATGCGGAGCTTCGGATGACTTTGACGAAATTACACAAGGAAGGGGCGAGCAAGCCAAACGACATCCCCGTCGAGGTTTTCCAAGCCATGGCAGAAGAGGCAGGGCAATTACATTGGTTACTCGATATCTGCAGTGACATGTGGGAGCTAAAGACATTACCTGAATAATGGGGCACTGCAGACGTGCGGCTGCTGTTCAAGCAAGGAACGACTTGAGGAGGCCGGCGTGGAGGACAGATTATGGAAATCGCAATTTGGATTTCGCCCTGGCTGCAGCACAGAGCATGCCATCTACATAGCGAGACGACATATTGAATTAGCACGGGCGCGGAAGCGAGAAGGCACGACCCTCGTGGCGCTAGATTGGAAGAAAGCTTTCGACGGCATCAGCATCGAGAGCATGATCGATGCCCTCCGGCGGCTCGGTATCCCGCCTGCTTTCAGGGACATGATTGGTGAGCTGATGCGGCAGAGGCAATTCGTCGTCGACGAGTGCGGTGCCTGGTCGACGCCCCGCTCACAGCGATCTGGAATTCCGCAAGGTTGCACTTTGAGCCCGCTTCTGTTTGTCTTTGTAATGACAGTTGTGCTGGCAGACGCGGTGGAGATGCTGGGGAGGCCCGCGAAGCAGGCGTACGACAACGGAAACCTTGCTGACTGCGCGTACGCAGACGACACGCTGCTCATTGGATGCAATGATGATTTCCTGAACGAATTCTTGGCGGCAGTCGCGGCGGCTGGTAGGAGGTACGGCATGAAATTGCATTGGAACACAATTCAAGTATTGGCCGTGCAATCGCCTGGTGTTGTTCGTGTGCCTGAGGGGGATCTACTACCACACGCAACGTGCATGAAATATCTCGAAGCTCACCTTACGCCAGACGCTGACTTCGGACACGAGCTGAACCGAAAAGTCGGAGAAACGAAGAGGTTGTTTCATGTGCTGAAAAAGCTGTGGTCGCATTCGTCTCTGACTTGGACAAGAAAGCTTCGTAGTTTCAGTTCTGTGGTGGAATCAAAGCTGCTGCATGGCCTCCCTGGAGCATGCTTCACGAAAGCGCAAATCCGGCGTTTGGATGGCTTCCGAAACAGTGTTTTGATTCGCGGGTCGAGAGCGCACCTCTTCCAGTCGAAGCTAAGCGGGCCGCGCGGAGCTTGAATTAACAATGAGGGGGAGGAGGGGGGATGGCTTCCAAAATAGGTGCATACGACAAATACTTGGTATGTATAACATTCATGCATTTCTCGAATATCGAATGCAGATGTCATCGTTCACGCAAGACACGCGCCGGCCAGCACGCAACTTTTATTCAAACAAGTGATGCTGTTCGGCCAGGTACTCCGGAACAGCCCTGGACATCCTCCGCGGGCACATTCTTTGCCAGCGGTACATGCGCACCTCTCTCTGGGGCAAGAACGCGCCGCATCAGCGCCCCTCACAAGGAGTTCGTGCCCGAAATGATGAAACATGCTGTGAGCTTCTTCGGCGACGTGGCTACTGCAACCTCCACAGCGGTAAACGAGTTTGAATCAAAGAGAACTCTGCGGACACACATCTTCAAGTGATTGCTGACACGTCTTAGTTGTTCTACCATCATCTCCCTTCTCCTCCGCCTCATCCTCCTCCTCTCCTTCCTTTCCGCCTCCCTCTGTGGATGATAAGAGCTGATTGCGCGGCGTTTGGCCGTCTGCGATACAGATGTCCGTCTTGCCGTTTTCATCCACGCACCGCCTAGGTGTCTGATGTGCCGTCCGTCCGCCCTTCTTCCGTTTACATCGGAATTAATTAGCTGCAGGATCTTGCACTGCAAGGACGTCTCAAGAGACACGCCTGGCCTGGCCGACAGACCCGTCGTGCGTTGCGACAGGAGTCAGTACTGATAGGAAGAACAGGGATAGAGGAAGGGAGTAGGAACAGGGAGAACCTGCGACGGCTGCCAGGCGGCGCCCATAACGGGGTTCGCCAGCTTCAGCCCGGTGGTGTAGAAGATCTGGTTTACGAAGAGGCTCACCACCGCGAGCAGGAGGAAGAGGATTGGGAGCAGGAGGGAGGAGAGGAGTAGGGAGGTGGGAAGAGGGGGGAGGAGGGGGAAGGGAGGGGGAAGAAGAAGAAGGAAGAAAGAAGGGAGAAGGGGATGAGCGAAGAGTGAGGAGGGAGGAGCGAGGAGAAACAAAGGACGGAGGGAGAAGAGAGAAAGGAGAAGGACAGGAAGGAAGGAGGGATGGAAGAAGAAAGCAGAAAGGGAGAAGGGAAGCAGGAGGGAGGAGGGAGGAGGATTGAGGAAGGTTGAGGGGGTTGAGGAAGTTTGGAGAAGCTAAGGGAGCGGAGGAGGGAGGGAAAAGGAAGGAGAGGAGGGGGGAGGAGCACGGAGGAGGAGGGGGGAGCGGGGGGATGACAAGCTAGGTGAGGCTCGCACCATTCGGTCGTCCTGCGCCTCCTAATCATCCCTTATCCTTGTGATGATGTTCTGTATCCGCCAACGGGTGGCATGGCGCACTGAGAAACCCCAAAAGGACACTGTCGTGGTAAGCGCAATCTGAAACTTGAACCTGCAGGCACTCGAGAAGGAGGCGGATGAGAAGGAGGATTTAGCAAGAGGAAGGAGAGGATTCGGAAGGAGGAGGACCAGAAGGAACAGCAGCAGCAGCAGAAGCAGGAGGAGCGGGGGGAGCAGGAGGTCCAGGGGAAGGCGGGGGAGGGGAAAGGAAGGGGCAACAACGACGAGGAAGCACTCGGACCTAGAAAGGTGCCAGGGCTGTTGCGACAGCGACACTCTGAACGGCGGGAGCAAAGTGCCGATCCCGAAACGAGGCCCATGCTGCAACGCGAGTACACTTTGAATCGACGGAAACTGTCCGACTGCAAAACAGCACATGCAAAACAAGTTCTGCATCCTGTGCCATCAAAAACATCCATGGATAGGGCGAGAAGGTTCCAGGACGCAGTCGGAGGAAGGAAGAGAAATATGCTCAGATTGAATAGTGATGGAGGGGAGGGGGAAGCCTCATAGCGGCGTCTCCGGCACCGCCCCTGGCGCGCTCCGTTCGCCGGGGAGGGGGGTCCAACGCCGATCCAAGAAATCCGCGCGGCGCTCCGAGACATTATGATTATGCCGTTTCGTTTTCCTTGACTCATATTGAGCAAGCATGGAGGGGGGGACACGGGAGCGAGAAGGAGAACCGCGAACGCCAGCAGGGGCACGTCCCGCAGCGACAGCGCCGGCCGCCCGTCGATCGCGAGGGACATCGCCAGCAGCAGCGGCGACGCACACGCCTCGCGGAGAAGGGCGAAGAAGATGGGGTTCATCTGCGGGAGGCCGACCTTTGCGCTACCAGCATAGAGAGGCCCAGAAAGACACGAATAACTCCAAACGCATTCCAGGATTCCCCATGTCTGTCCATGTTTCATGGAGTTTCCTCTTCCCTTCATTTCCCATACTTTCCCGTAGCCAGGACCCCCGACCTGGTGATGAAGGAAGTCCTGGCTTGGAGCGAGGGTGATTTCTTAGCCACCACGAACTGCAACACCCACCCCCACCACCAGCCAGGACCCCTGCATCACCAGGTGTGGGGGTGAAGGTGGGTTCTGCTGCTCTCACTATTTGTGACTATGCCTAGCTGTCCCTCCTCGCTCTACGCTGCTGGGCAGACCCCGCACCCACGGCCGCCGGTCATGCCCTGGGGCGCCTCGGGAACGGTGGGTGCGTGTACTTTCCCGCCCTCATTGGCGGGCCCCCTTGTATGTAATGCGTATGTGTGTATGCATGTGTATATCTATATATGGTAGCCCCCCCCCACATGATCATACATATTCGTCTTTACCGCGGCCGCCGATCGATATCTTCTTTCTCCGCTCCCTTCTCCTGTCTCTTCCTTTCTCTCCTCCTCCTCCTCCTCTTCCTCCTCCTCCTCCTCCTCCCCGTGCTATTCCTTCTCGGAATCATCGAAATCGTCAGAAACTAAAGCAAACCTCCAAAAAACCAAAGAAAAACCAAAAAAACCAAAAAAAACAAAAAAACTATGATTTCTGGAGAATTTCTGGAACGGCTGGCGACCAAAATTCGCCAGAAATCATAGTTTTTTTTGGTTTTTTTGGTTTTTTTGGTTTTTTTGGTTTTTTTGGTTTTTTTGGTTTTTTACCTCCTCCTCCTCCTCCGCCTCCACCTTCTCCCTCTTCTCCTCCCCCTCCACTCCCTCTTCTCCTTCTTCCCCTCTCCCCCTCCTCCGTTCTGCCGCCGGCCGGAGTAGGTACCGCAATTCCACCGATTGTTCTCCAGAAATCATAGTTTTTTTGTTTTTGTTTGTTTGTTTGGTTTTCTGAAGGGTTTTCGCTGGCGTTCGGCCTCCACAGAAGGATTCCTATTGAAATCCTCTGCGAAAGAAGATTCCCATTGAGATCCTCTACGGCTCCTCACCCTCCTCCTTCTGCAACTCACCCTCCTCATCATGCTCGCTTCGAGGCGATACTCACAAATCTAGTTGCGAACGCAGCTTCACAACTAGTTTTGCGAGGAACCTCCCGCTACAAGACACTACTCGCAAAACTAATTGTGAACGGCGCTCCACAACTAGTTTTGTGAGTAATGAGTTCCTCCTCGTCATCGTCATGCTGCTCACTCTCCTCTTCTTCCTTCTCCTGCTCCTCCTGCTCCTCGTCATTCTGCCCCCTCGTCTCCGCTTCGAGGCGACACGCACAAATCTAGTTGTGAACGCAGCTTCACAACTAATTCTGCGAGGAACCTCCCGCTACGAGACACAACTCGCAAAACTAATTGTGAACGACGCTCCACAACTAGTTTTGTGAGTAATGAGTTCCGCCTCGTCGTCGTCATGCTGCTCACCCTCCTCTTCTTCCTTCTCCTGCTCCTCCTGCTCCTCTGCCCTCCTGCTCCTCCTAGTTGTGCAGCTGCGTTCACAACTAGATTTGTGAGTATCGCCTCGAAGCGGAGAGAAGGGGGCACAATGACGAGGAGCAGGAGGAGGAGCAGGAGGAGGAAGAAGAAGAGGGTGAGGAGCATGACGATGACGAGGAGGAACTCCTTACTCACAAAACTAGTTGTGGAACGCCGTTCACAACTAGTTTTGCGAGTAGTGTCTTGTAGCTGGAGGTTCCTCGCACAACTAGTTGTGCAGCTGAGTTCACAACTAGAGCTGTGAGTATTGCCTCGAAGCGGAGAGGAGGGGGCACAATGACGAGGAGCAGGAGGAGCAGGAGGAAGAAGAAGAGAAGGGCGAGGGGCATGACGATGCCCTCCTGCTCCTCCTGCTCCTCGTCAGCAGAACTAGATGTCAACGGCGTTCCACAACTAGTTTTGTGAGTAATGAGTTCCTCCTCATCATCGTCATGCTCCGCACTCTCCTCTTCTTCCTCCTCCTGCTCCTCCTGCTCTTCTGCCCTCCTGCTCCTCCTGCTCGTCATTCTGCCCCCCCCCCTCTGCTCACCTTCGTCTTCTTCTTTCTCCTGCTCCTGCTCCTCCTGCTCCTCGTCATTGTGCCCCCTTCTCTCCGCTTTGAGGCGATACGCACAAATCTAGTTGTGAACGCAAATGCACAAGTACTCTTGCGAGGAACCTCCCGCTACGAATCACTACTCGCAGAACTAATTGTCAACGGCGCTCCACAACTAGTTTTGTGAGTAATGAGTTCCTCCTCGTCATCGTCATGCTGCTCACCCTCCTCTTCTTCCTTCCCCTGCTCCTCCTGCTCCTCCTGCTCCTCGTCATTGTGCCCCCTTCTCTCCGCTTCGAGGCGATACTCACAAATCTAGTTGTGAACGCAAATGCACAAGTACTCTTGCGAGGAACCTCCCGCTACAAGACACTACTCGCAAAATTAATTGCGAACGATGCTCCACAACTAGCGTTGTAAGTAATGAGTTCCTCCTCGTCATCGTCGTGCTGCTCACCCTCCTCTTCTTCCTTCTCCTGATCCTCCTACTCCTCGTCATTGTGCCCCCTCCTCTCCGCTTCGAGGCAATACTCACAACTCTAGCTGTGAACTCAGCTGCACAACTAGTTTTGCGAGGAACCTCCCGCTACAAGACACTACTCGCAAAACTAGTTGTGAACGGCGTTCAACAACTAGTTTTGTGAGTAATGAGTTCCTCCTCGTCATCGTCATGCTCCTCACCCTCCTCTTCTTCCTCCTCCTGCTCTTGCTCCTCCTGCTCCTCGTCATTGTGCCCCCTTCTCTCCGCTTCGAGGCGATAGTCACAAATCTAGTTGTGAACGCAGCTGCACGACTAGTTTTGCGAGGAACCTCCCGCTACAACACAATTCGCCATAGAATGATTCCTATTGAAATTATCAACAGAAGGATTCGCGTTGAAACCCTTCACAGAAGGAGACTTAGGTGGATGAGAAGGAAGAGAAGGAGGAATATGAGGCGGATGAGGAGGATCAGGAGGAGGAGGAGGGAGAGGGAGAAGAACCTCTATAAAACGATTCTTAATGATCAACTGCAACGCAGCCGATTGGATTGTAATGCGTTGCCAACGATTGAAGCCGCAAAGCGCTTGGAATGCAATCGACTGGGTTGCGTCTGACAACGTAGCAAAACATAATCAAGAAGAGCAGGAGGAGGAAGGGGGATGAACGACTGGAGGGATCAAGGGAGCATGTGTATGATCATGTGGGGGGGGGCGAGCATATATATATATATATATACTAGAACCACGCGCGCGCTTCGCGCGCGCTTAGGTTCTGTCGAGTCACAGACCCAGGAATCGCTATGAGAAGACATTGGGGACGCGAAGTCGAAGCCAATCTGGCGCCAATCTGGCGGCCCCTATCGGGCAAAAATTGGCAATCTGGCGGGGGAGCCAGCGAGGTAACAGACTGGCGAGCAAGTAGAAATCTCCAACCTGGCCACGCCAGAGTGGCCCTGGACCCCAAGGCAATCTGATAGTCTGGCCTTCGGCTACCCAGGAGAAGGGCGAGACACTGAAATCTTGGGACGCGAAGTCGAAGCCAATCTGGCGCCAATCTGGCGGCCCCAATCTGGCAAAAGTTGGCAATCTGGCGGAGAGCCAGCGAGGTTACAGACTGGCGAGCAAGGAAAAACCTCCAACCTGGCCAAGCCAGAGTGGCCCCTGGAACCCAAGGCAATCTGTCAGTCTGGCCTTCGACTGTCCAGGAGAAGAGCGAGACACTGAAATCTTGGGACGCGAAGTCGAAGCCAATCTGGCGCCAATCTGGCGGCCCCATTCTGGCAAAAGTTGGCAATCTGGCGAGGGAGCCAGCGAGGTTACAGACTGGCGAGCAAGGAAAACCTCCAACCTGGCCACGCCAGAGTGGCCCCTGGAACCCAAGGCAATCTGTCAGTCTGGCCTTCGACTGTCGAGGAGAAGGGCGAGACACTGGAAACGCAAAGTCGTCTCAAAATCGACCCCGGGACTCCGAACGCTCCAACGTTTCGGGCTGCGCCCAGCCGCTGCGACGAGGGGCGCTAGACCGGGAAGCTTCGGCGGCGTCCACAGCACCCATCCTCCTCCTCCTTCTCCTGTTCCTCCTCTTCCTCCTCCTCCCTCTCCTCCTCCTCCTCCTCCTCCTCCTCCTCTTCTTCCTCTTCCTCTTCCTCTTCTTCTTCTTCTTCTTCCTCCTCCTCCTCCTCCTCCTCCTCCTCCTCCTCGTCTTCCTCCTCATCCTCATCCTCGTCCTTTCCCGAGCCATACAATAACAACTTGCGTGGAACCCCTCTCGGGCCCATCTTGGGGCTCTCTTGGGCCGCCTTTGGAGCCTCTTGGGGCGTCCTGGGTCTCTCGTGGGGGCTTCTTGGAGCTCTCTTGGCGCCTCCTGGAGCCTCTTGGGGCCGAAAGCTCGGAATTCTACAATGGCTTTCTCCCTCTGGGACCCCTCTCGGGCACGCCTTGGGGCTCTCTTAGGCCATTTTGGAGTCCAATTTTGCCGTCCTGGGCGCCTCGTGAACCGTCTTGGAACTCTCTTGGGGGCCACCTAGGCCGTCTTGGGAGCCTCTTCGGACGTGTTGGACGCGGTGGAACCCAACAGGCGACCATGCGAAAAGTATACGTTTCCCATAGGATTGGGACCATTTTTGCTTCTTGGACCTCTCTTGGGGTGCCTCTCGGAACGTCTTGGGCTGATTTTGGAAGCCTTTGGGCGCCACTTAGCGGCGTTTTGGCGCCTCCTGGGATGTGTTGGGCCGGAAGCTCGGAATTCGAGAGTGGCTTTCTCCTTCTGGGACCCCTCTCGAAGTCGTCTTGGGGTTCTCTTGGGCCGTCTTGGGGCCGTCCTGAGCCACTCGTGCGCAGCCTTGGAGCGCTCCCGGAGGCCTCCTAGGCCGTCTTGGAGGCCTCTTGGGCCG